AACAAGAGAAGAGTAACTAAGATAGTGTGTATTTGCTTTTTATAGATATCCATTTGTGAAGAATTGGCCTTTTATAATGCCATGTCTTTCTATCTAGGAACAAGATATACCTGAATGTATTTTATTCTTATATTCATTAGTAACATTTTATGATGTTTCCTCATTTAATCTTTTATATTGTTAAGAATCTTCAGCATGATCATCTACCATGATTCCTCGAGTGTTCGTATTCAAGTATTCATTCATTCACTCATCCACTCCTCAGCCGTCCTTGGGCACTAACCACCTATGAAGCACTTTTGACATCTAGGGCGTGCAGTAGGGAATAATGTACATGCATATCAGGAAACGTGACTTGTCCTCCTCCTCTTGCTCCCAACAGAACTGAATGAGGACTTACATTCTTATGTAATGCAAAGTCCAAAGGAGGCAGTCCAGGGCTATTCTGGTTATTCCACAACACAAGTTGAATTCAGGATCTTCTGCCTTTCTGTTCAGCAGTCCCTGTTGGGTACTTGTCATTGTTTGACTTCCAGCACATCCAGCATTCAACTGCATTCCGATAGGAAAGAGGGCAAGGACAAAGGAAAAGAAAAGCATGGAGCCTGGAACTGATCTCCTCACCCTTTCGAACTTCCTAGAACCCATCCTCATGAAAGTTGCCTATACTTACTTAGCCAGAACTGTATTATGTGGCCACATTAATCTCTACTAGCTATTTATTGCTCCCTTCAAATCAGACTTCTTAGGAAGAAGGAACAGTATTAAATTCCTGCCCTTACGGAGAAATTCAAAGAATTTATGCCCAAGTGTCTTGGATTTCCACGGCCTCTTTTCTCCCTTCTTTTCACCCACCCCACTGGTGATCTCATTCATTCTCACCACTGTAACTGCTACTTTTATGATAGTTCTTAAATGTTCATTCTAATATAGCACCTTCCCCTAAACTTAAGTACCTAAATGCCTAATTGACATTTCCACTTAGATTTCTAGATCTCAAATTTAACCTATACAAAACGAACTTTTTCACCAGAACTTTCCTCCTGCATCTTTGGTTGCTCAGGCCAAAAACCTTGGAGCCATCCTAATCTCCTGTCTATCTTACATCTTTGTTTTGCTGAGACAGGATCTTGCTATGTAGTTCAGGCTGGCCTTGAACTCATCCTTTTGCCTCCTGTCTTATACCTTATGCCAGAAAGTCCTGTTTAGCTTCAGCTCCACCTTTATCCAGAGTCCCTCGATTTCTCATCATTTTCATTCTGATCCAAGCTGTTACGGTTCATGTCTAGCTGTCCCCACCAAAGCCTCATGCAGTCATGGGGCAGACTTCTAGAGTTTGAGACTAATTCATGGTCCAATGCTGGGATTATGGGGGTGAGAGCTGCACCAGCCCTGGGAACACAAGGAAGGGAGAGAGGCTGCCACTGCTCCTCCTCTTTTGCACTTGCTGTCCTGCCGTTTTCCACCACCATGAACTGCTTGCTGCCCTCTGTGATGTGCTCATCCTGCCTTGGAGCCAGTATGGACTGAAACCTCCACAAACTGTGAGCTAAATAGACCTTTGCTTCCTTAATTTTGGGTGTCAGGTATTTTGTCCCAGCAATGAGAAAAAAGTAACTGACATAAGCTACCAAGTGTCCTAAAATCATTACCCATATAGATAATGCTTTCTGAATTGTCTATTGACTTTCTCTTCTCTAATGATCTTAGCCTTGTCCTCTACCTCTGCTATATATCCCACCGTCATGCTCTGTATTATCATTACCAGAAACTGTTGAGCCCTCTAGAATCAGGGCTGTGCACCTCACATTAGCAACCATCCCTGTCTCTCCATTGTTTTTCTCCTCATTCTAACTGCAACATCCCTCCAACTCCACCAGTACCAGCAGTTCCTGAATATTACAATTTTCTACCACTTCTCATTTTCTCTTTACATTCCCACTTTTCTTTTAACTAAGTTTAAACTTTAGCCAATGCTTTGTCTCCATGTCTTCAACTACCACACTCTTCTCCCCCTCATACTCATTTGGTGAACTCCCAGGTTGGATTTGATCACCCCTCCACCTACTCCAAGCCTGCACCTACCTACACAGTTGATATAGTTGGAGATAAATATGTATCTGAGCTGGATGATTCTACATCCAAGTCACCATCATTGGCCTCAAATGGAACATTCCACACTGTCTAGAAGTCAGACTCAATTGTCCCACTTTCTGTTCTCATTTGCTTCCTTTTCCTTTCTTAGTTCTCCATCTCCATGTCTTGCCTAGGCTCAGTCTCAAGTGGTAACATTCCTTCCTACTTCAAAGAGAAAAACATGGAAGGAATCTAGGAGTCCTTCAACAGGCTCCCACATTTGCCCGTCACCCGTGTGCCTATACACTCAGTCTTTTCTGTCATTAATATGAACTCTTTGTGTTCCTATCTTAAGCCAAACCCCCGTGAGCTAGATTCCAAATGACCTCATCCAGTCAAAGATATCATTCTGGTAAGTCTTCCCTGTCTCTTATACCACATTTTCTACTTTACTGGATCATTTCCATTGGTATACATCATTTCTTTTGCCTTAAAAAATACAAAAAAGTCTTTTCTTGACTCCATTTACTTCTTCTGGCCATTATTTCCTCTTTTATAGCCAAATTCTCTGAAAGAATTGTCTGTATTCATTATATCTAATTTAACTCCTCTATTTTCTCTTAAATCTACTTCAGCAAGGCTTACTCCCACCATTTACTGAAAAACAGCTTCTACTAAGGTCAACAAATCATTTGTTCTAGTTAATTTTCTGAGAATCTTTCATATCTCAGTTACACTTCACTGAAACATGTTCTGGCTTTTCTAAGTTCATCGACACACTGTCACTGTTATACCACCTATGATGGCTGTAATTTTATACTTTATGTCTTTGCTTAATGCTTCTTCTCTCTCCCCTCAAATGACTAAGTTCCATTAGGGCAGGGGTAATGTATTTTCTTTTTCTATCACAATTGTTCAGTTAATTAGCACAATACCCGGTAAATAAAAATTTACCAACAAATATTTACGGGGGAGAAATAGTTTATTTTTATCAACCCATCTTAAATTTGGGATAAGAGACTCAAAGAAGCAAAGAGAGCACTATCCAAAGCCACACTGTACTGGTAGAGTAAGGACAGTTAGAGACAGCAGACATACCGATCTCCATACTACATTTCGGATTTGCAATGCTAAGGAAGATACGGGCCCTCATCTCCCAGCCTTGGCCTCATAGAGCCTCCACCAGGTCTGGGATGCACAGAACAAGCTATGGACCATTGTGCAACATAAAGTCCTCCTTGCCCACGAGCCCTTATTGCCAAGCCAACAAAACTTGGCACTGTGACCTGCTCTGGTTCCTGAGTCTGAAGTGTACAAGGAGAAGGGCTCCTTCCCAAAATCAGCTGTTGAAATTATATCCCACTAAGGGATATCACTCATCACTGACCTATACACTATGAACCATGAAGAATACAGGGAAAAGTAAGTAGGAAGATGCACTTGAAGTCATAATACCATGATTCATTGTCATTTGAAGACCAGAAACAAACAGAAAAAGCAGTTCAGGAGTAGAATGTCAAACACACAACAGGGCTTTGTAACAGGACCTTACCCAACTTTTAAGGAGCCTGCTATGTTAAGATGTCATGCACACAATTTGGAAGACTGTAGCTTTTGAGAATAGTAAACTGCCAGGCAGCACTGTCGTGAGACATACAGCCAGTCACTACTTTTTAAAAGTCTACCATTAGCACATGAGGGCATGATTCTAAATAGAAGACTCTGAAGATAAAAAGAGGTACTGTTAAAACTGAGGCCAGGACAATGAGTTTTTACTAGTACTGTCCCAGACAAATGAAAGGAATGCTCACCCTTCAGTAGCTGTTCTCTAGAAAAGCAGTACGTAATTATGCAAGTAACTTCATTAGACAAATCAATAGCAGCAGCAGTCAGAGAAAGCTACCAGTCCAGTATGAGCTCACATCCCCTTGACTCTAGATGGCCATGCTAATACTATCTCCACTAAATACAGAATACGAGTCACTTCCTGTACTTGTTTTTCTTACCCTTCTCAGACAAGAAAGATCTACATTCCATCTTGAAGGTAGTCATTTTTGTCCCAGTCTCTACTTCAGTTAATCCGGTCAGTTAAGAAAGAATATATCCTTCTGTGACAAGCTAAGTCAAATAAAGTCACTCTTGAGATTTCTAGAAGATTCCCTCTTCCCCCAAGACAGAGTTCCATGAACCACATCTTCTGCAGTCAAGATTGACTTCTGGGTCATTCACTGAAGCAGCATAACAAAACAAGTCACTAGTCACAAAGCTTTATTGTAGGTGTCAATACATACATACTTCAGAGCAATGTTCTGAATCATTCACTTGACAGAAACACATCTGAATCAGTTTCACTAGTGTATTTTTTTGTTTGCTTGGCAAGGGAAAATAAAAATTATTGTAAAAATCATGTTACTGTCCAAAAGGTCTGATTACACTAACAAAAAATGTATAAAATGGAAGTATTGCCATCCCCATGGTGTCAAAAAACATTGTATAATTCAAATCAAGAAGATAATCTCATATAAATCCAGTAAGATAGGTGCTGGCAAATAGAACTGAGGTAATTTGTTATTTAAAAAAATGCAGTCAATGATAAATTACAAAAAATAAAGTTTTGATCAGAAAACTTACTACAAAATGCCACATAAAGACGTTGACTAGTTACTTTCTTTAAAGGGAAAAGAAACCAAACATTTGGTTTGTCATTACTTTTTTTTTTTTTTTAATTTAGGACAGGGTGTTCAGGGTCTCACTACACAGATTGCACTCATAGAGATCCTCCTGTTTACAGCTTCCCAAGTGCTGGGATGACAAGTACATGCCACTATGCCCAGTCTCAATCCACCGTCTCAGAGCACGCCAGGGGCGGGGCCAGCACGGCAAGCTCAGGGATCAAACTCCCAGCCCATGCGTCTGCCTAAGCAGGCACTTTAATCCACTGAACTATTTGGCAGGCCCTTCTATTTACTCATAAGGAAAAAAGAAAACAAATGTTCAGAAAATACTGTTGTTACTGATTTCTTTGTCATATGCTACCTAGAATTCAGGAATCTCTTACTCATCCTCATCAATCTGTAGAAATAAGGAGATAAAATCAGCATCTGCCTTCAGTGGGACACTCACAGCACCCGAATAAGGTCCAGAGTGATCCTAGACCGGGGGACGTCAATGTTCAGGACTCGGACTTCCACCCTTTCTCCAGGGCCCAGCCCAAGGCTCCTTCTCTTCTTTGTTTTAGAAAGCTTTGCTTCTGTAACATTTCGTATGGGAATCAGCCCTGATCGCCCCACTCCTATATCCACAAAAATTCCAAACAGAGTGGCATTTTCAACTTTGCCTGTCAAAATCGTGCCAACCTGCAGATCTTCCAGGCATACTATACTTCTCTTGAAATCAGGTTTATCAAAATCTGTTCGAAAGTCAAAGCTTTCGGGCTGGCTGAGACCATTGTACTTCACAGACACAATACAATTTAGTGGGTTAGCATTTACTGTGTGTTGATTATATGCACAGACCAATATTAAGCTTGGCAAGGGGATAAAGAAGGAGCTGGAGAGAGGCCTGGTTTCAGAGAAAATGCATCCTCCAAAAACAGCACTGACACCATAGGAATAATTTAAGAAAATCAAACATTTTCTTCTCCCCAATCTCTGTTTCAGTAACACGTGAACATCAGTACTACTTATGAAGATACACAGCAAGCGATGATGACGTATCTTTGTTCAACAAATACACAAGGCTGAATCACAAACACTAAGAAAGTAAGACCCATGGAGACAGGTGGAAGTTATTTCAACCTGGATTCTTAAGTTGTTGAAAGTGGTAGAAAGTACATTGCCTTTTGGTCAAATGTGGATTTTGTTCCCACAAAACTGGAACTCAGGAATCAATTCCAGTCCATTTCAAATGTATTCATCCAAACAAAATGCGTGGATTCTTGATTATCTATGGCTCAGAAACCCAAAGCAGCTAGAATCCAACATTCCTTTTCTTCAACTCTTCGAACATTTACAAACTCCTGTCATTACCTGCCGGCCAGGCACTCTGCTGGGTCCCAGAGACACAAAGGTGAAAACCCTTGCATTCTGCTTTTAAGTTCCTTAGTCTCTTCCCTTGCTCATCCCCCTAAACAATTCTCTGCTGACACTGTCCCCTAGAAGGTGAACATGAAGCATGCCAAGGAATCATCATGACTCTAGTGAAAAACAAAACAACAAACTTTTTATGAGGTAGGCAGTGAGAACTAGCAGTTTATATGGGACTTGTGAATTATCTGTGGCCTTCATTTCTCCACGGTCTTCTTGGGCCTCTTTCCTAGGATTACTGAGTGTTGACTTTAATAACAAAGAACACATTCTATGCTTGGATCTCTTCTTACTAAGACCTCATTTTTCCCTCCACCCAGTCCATTTCCTTTTCCTCCACAGCTGTTGGCTTTATCCTGATTACTTGTTAGGGCGATCCTTTACATTTGTATTAACAACTGGTCACCTCTTTGCTCCCCTCCCCCAGTCTAGCTACATATACTAAAGCCAGCATCTTTGAAAACACTCAACTTTCTCCTGTAAAACAAAACAAAACCTTCTTTAAACACTAACTCTCATTTTCCTTATAAAAAGAATAGGCTAAAATTGAAATTGATTCTGTAGTTTTACCTGATGCTTAAGCAGTGAATTCCAAAAGCAAGAAACCTACTGTAACATAATATTACACTGGGCAAGGACTGTGTCACAGCAAAGTGAAACTAAGTGGTTGATCAGGGCCAGAGGTAGGATGGTCTCCGAGGCCCTATAAGGCATTGTTTTTATGCTTGGAAATTTTTTCCCCCTCCTTTTCTTGCAGAGGTCCAGCTGCTGCAGATTCCCCAAGGGGTTCTGATCAGCTGCTTAGTTTAATTTTGCATGGAAAATCAGAGTCAGAAACTACTTAACATGTTCCTGAAGACAGTTTAGGCCACTGAGAAATCAGAAAATCCTCCATGCACCATGCAAACTTTAACACTTTGATAACCATGGCTGTGTATTCTGTCTACTGTCACCAGATTGCTTCTGATGAACTACTTTTGCTCAGTTATGGAAACTCATATACAACCCCAAGTGTTAATAAAAAATGGAGTCAATTACGTCATTGAGAAAACACGAGACAGGATATGAGGAAGGAATGAGGCATTAAGAAAGGAAAATAACTATCTTTTCTTAAAATGAAGGAAAGAGATGTATGTAACATAAATACTCATGTAAAAACATCAAGATACCATCTACACTCTCAAAAGCACAACTCACCTGCCTTCCCCCTTGGGGGTACATTTAATAGTAAGATGATGCGTCTCAGATATCCTGAAAATTGTGACTTACACTAGGGCAAAGGTCAGTTCCAAAGTTTGCTTACAGAGACTGATTTGAAATTCCATGTATCACACTGATAACCAAGGTCACTGGAAACTTGGTTCAGAGCTGGTACAACTGAGCTTCTGCTCAACAAAGGGCACCTCAGGGAAGGCCCTCTTTTTGGTGAGCCTCACTATATAATTTTCATGTTGATCAAAGTCTCTAGTTTAACTAGGATACTGAAGTAATCAACATGACAACAGAGAAACAAAGACAAACATATTCAGCACATCTAACATCTATTTGTTAGTCCTCTAATGCAGCAGCGCAGGCATGATCACCCCAAATCACTTTGCGTGAAGGACCTTCTGGATGCCTCCACTGCCATGTTTCTGCCATAGCTCTTACTGCATTTGTTTTCTCCCATTTCTATTTTTAATACAAAAAAAAAATCTACAAACTAGTTGAGGAAATAGTACAACGAACTTGCTGGGTGGCTTAATTCCCTCAAGTGTTTTCAAGGAAGCAAGTGTAACCCCTCCGACACAGCCTAACTCAAAGTGAAAGGAGATAGGCTCTCACTACAGAATCATTAAAACTGGTTCTGAGACAAGTGTATAGCTTCATTGAAGTCTCAGGGGCTCCTATTCAAACTTCCTAAGGAAGTAGGTTATTTGATACCTTAATTCTTTTTTACTGGGTCACTGCTCTCAGCAACTACAGCTATTATACTACTCTCACCCTCTACCTGTGCGGAAAGCCGAGAGCACTTTTAATTAGAAGGAAAATCAACAGGAAGATATCGCCTTATTTGTTCAATGTGCTCACTGACACAGAATCCAGAAACCTGCATAGCTGTAATTTAGGAAAAAGATTCACTTTTTAACAAGAGGATGGAATGCTTCACCTTGGACTTCTGGTTCCTGGAACATAAAAACAGCTCGCAAAACGTGCCTGCCTTCATGCACAAGCAGTATATACATGATGCATTTTAGGGCATTACAGCAGCAAACAAACAGCGAAGGAGTTCAGAGACCTGGCTTCCAGCTTTGTCTCTAACATTAGTTACAATGTCTCTGAAGGTTGCTAAGCTTCTGTTATCCCACGAACAGAATGAGAGAATCTGTCTTGCTCATGGCACGGAGTTGTTGGGAGAATCAAAAGAACCAATAGGAGTTACGCGACTGTATATAACTCAAGTTCAGCTTACCTGTTCGAAAGTCAAAGCTTTCGGGCTGGCTGAGACCATCTATGATGACCTGTAAAGTGTGTACTGTTGTCTTTAATCTTTCTGCAGCTTTCTCTATTCCTTCCTTTTCAAGAGATGAATTTATTTTCTGTTGCATTTTAGGTGTTCCAATCTCACACAGCGTCCCTCCAATGAATGATAAAAATCTTCAATGGAAAGAAAAGCCCAATATTTATTAATAATGTTACCTCTTCTCCAATCTCCTTAACACATCATCCTAAAATTGACACACCTCAGATTTATAAATCAACACTCTCCCATCCATACACAATATAGTCAGTCAATGAGTCTTTATTGAGAATCTACAATGTGTCCCACACTATAGGGGACAAACTACCTTGGGGGGAGCAAGGCAGGGGGAAGGGGGAGGAGGGAGTCAACGTGAAGCTCAATGGTAGCTTGTGCTTCGTGTTTCATGCTTCATGTTCTGTGCTTCACATGAGGCCGTAGGTTCAATCCCCAACACCAAAAACAAAAACAAACAAAAGACAAAGGTAGGAATAACTGAAAGAAAAAAGTAACTTTCTTTCAAAATGCAGGCAAGACCTCAATTATATTACTTAAAATTGAATAGTATCTTTATACACTTTAAACATTACATAATGGCAATATTTGCAAAATAATAACAGCTGACCTCAAAAGTTTCCTTGGGCAATGGTGAAAACAGAGCTTTTACAAGTGGGAAGGGGACCAAGAGGTGGAAGGAGGGGGGGCAGGAGGGGATGAAAGATAAAAGATGCAAGCTACCACACACAGGTACCTGCTCCCCACCATACACGTAATCGCTGTGTGCTGCAGACATACTCTGAGACCTGCTTTCCCTTTTGCTATGTTCCTTTGCTTCCACAACTGCTCCTCAATTAGGAAGTTTTAGCATTACAAGGAAAGGGTTAAGATGCCTTTCCCTTCAATTTCATGTGAAGACTGGGCTGTTCCTTACTTTCTTGACTTTCCTTGCCTGGGTATTTTTCTACATCATTAAGTTCCATTTCCTATGATTAATGGCACTTTAAAAATGTCAACACAGTAATCAGACAGATAGTGATACTAATGCCCTCAAATCCTTTCCTCTAAGGATGTCTCTTGAATACAAGAAGGGGGGAAAGGAAGCTGCTGGAGGTTTGTCTGTAACGAGAATTGGGACATATCCACTTGGCAGGCTGCTGGATCATCACAAAGGAATGCTGCGATTCCAAGTCTCTCTTTGGGTTGTTATATTCAACCAGAAAAGGCCTCTTCAGTGATACTCTGGTATCCAGTAGAGAAGTTCTGACTTCTCACTTGGCTAGGGTGTCTCTTAGGACTCAAATGTGTAACCCTCCTACGTTTCTTAGCCATATTTTTTGTAAGAAAAAAAAAAAAAAAGACTCTCCAGCGTCCAACTATTTCTCTTAAGAATATATTCTGGTGAATAGTGTAATGCTTCGTATCCTGTGGAAAAGAGCTTCCATCTACACTGGAGGCCAGGGAAACACTGTCTGTGTGTGTCCATGGCTCCCACGGCAGGCAGAGCGCCAGCTGGTTTCTGTCAGCACTGATGGGCAGCAGTACACAGGGCCCTGTGACAGGCACCACTGCTGGATCTGTGACTGAAGGGGAAGACGACATATGACAACCTCTGCCCACAGCCAACTTTCTTACACAACTTTCTAAATAATTCATGCCCTGCTGAGCAGGCTTTCCTAGTATTCACCGTCTTGACTTTATCGATCTGCAACTGGCTATTTAAGCAGAACATCTTTCAAACCCTCAAGATTCTGGCTTATCTGTTAAAATGCTAAAAAGTGTACTCATGGGTTATAAACCCTGAATAGCATTAACAGAAGTAACTAAGAGGCAGGACTTCCTAGAGCACTGTGTAAATAAGTTGGTCTCAATGACAAACTTGGGGCGACCAGGAGTCCTAAGAGAGTGTGTGCGCTACCACAGTCCCTTTCAAACACAGAATTCTGTGTCTAGTAATTGCAGACGTAAGAAAAAAAAATTGGTCTGTTTAACTTGAGTGCTTGTTTCATGCATCATCTTCATTCTTATTAGTAACTAAAACCAGTAAAAAGCAGGAAGTTGCGCTCCTAGCTTAATGCCTCATACTGATCAATCCCATTTTTAAATGACCATAGAACAAAGTTAAATGCTTTTTTACTTTGAAAACTATGTTTTCTTTTAATGTAAAACCCTCCACGATTTCAAAACAAGATAATAGGAGAGCAACAATAATGAATACATTGCATATAGTTATCTTCAGAGTAGTTACTCAGGGTACAATGTACAGGCATGAGGTACTGTCCAAACGACATCAGCACAAACCTTTAACAAGGTCACAGGGGGCACAAGGACTGACTGCTTCTTACTGGATTTCAAACATACTCAGCTGCATAGGATAGGAAACAAGGCTTTATGCTCAGCAGATGCTCATTAGACACATGAACCTTAAATGCCCCAAGAAATCCTTATTCTACATATTCCCAATTTTTCTTTAGAACTGCGAAGCAGTAATGATCAACAAGAAGTACTTCCTAATTCAGAAGTCCCAAATAAAATCATTACTTTTGGAAGCCTGGAACACAGATTGTAAACGAATATGTACTAATAAATATGCTGGAACTCATGCTGGTGAGATTTTCTCACTTAGTCATGACAGTAATCCTAAAACGTGGTTATGATATTATACAGAAAAGGAAAATTGAGCTTCAGGGAGTTTCAATTACTTGCCAAGGGCCATGCAGCTATTCCCGAGCTAGTGTTTCATGCCACACACAAGGTATCTTTGCAACTGACAGCATGTGAAAATTAATGTGTCATATTTAGTAAAGATAGAAAACACAACACTTTTGGTAATATTTTAGCAAAAAAATTTAATGGCAGATTACTTTCAAACATTTCAGACAGTTAACAATAAATTCCACAAAGAGCTTACTATACACAAGCTTTTAAGTAGACAATTCTCTCCAAAGTCAATGAGTTACGAAAATCATGGCCTCACTCCACTGTCTCTGGAAGGTTTTTGCAGTTTGCTAAGCACTGCTGTAGGAGCTGCTGTTTTTATTTAATATGTAATTTCATCCATCTTACATAAAGTAAGAAAGTAGCATAAATGCAACAAATAAGCACATCATGTTCCTTTAACACACATCTGTACAAAGTTAAAATACAGACTCTGCAGCAGAGATAATGCTTACTTTTTAAACAGATAGCTATATAACCTAAAATCACTGATATTTCAACAGAAACTTGTTACAAACGCAGGGCTTTCCCCTTCAAAAAATAAGAAAAATCTTTGCAGGGTTCGTTTCTTCCAAAGAAGAAAAACGCTCTCAAGATTTGGGAGGCTGTAGGCACAGCCATTCTGTTTTATGTAATCATTTCCAGCGCCGCCGAGATTTAGGGGCTGAGGGCTTGGTTCATTACATTAAAGCAACACGATACCCTGCAGAGCACAGAAGAGCCATGGGGACGCAACACAGTCACTTGAAAAACAACTTAATATTAGCATGTGCTTTGTGGGCAAAACACATGTGATTTACAACTCCACCAAGAACCGGGCTGCACGAGCACAGCGCTTCTTGCCTACCCACTCCGCGCACTCGGTAGAGACTTTCACGCTTGTTTCTCTTTATCTATTGCTTTTACTTAGTTTTACAGTAATGTCCTCACTGAGCAAAAAATAAATGCAGGAGCACATACATTTTGAAAATGAGCAGGAATAGATAGCTTGGGTCAAAATTTGAAATCTAGAGAGAAAATCAGAGATTTAAAAAGAGAACTTATACCCGAAGAAGAAATCTGGCCTTTTAAACTATGATTTGTAGGATAAGCAGTGTGACACAGTGAAAGGCTCAGCAATAATGTTTTATCCTAAAAACACTGATATTATATGCATTTTCAAATCTTTTGCTCTTCACATGAAAAGCTGACTATAAATTGAGATGCAATAAAGCAGAACCTGCTCCTCCTGAGACTCCAGGGGGAACCGAATGGCACCGGTATTCAGCAGCGGAGCATTCTTCAGCTTGAAGCAAGACTGCCAGCTTTGCCACAGCTGTCGTTCCAGCAGCCAAATCAAAGCAACAGCAACGTAACCACTTTAGTCGCCATCAAAGAAACTTTTCAAATCTCTAATCTCCTTGTTAAGCCAAGACACTAAACTCAGCCAAAATCCTTTAATATCTGTGGTGGTGCAAAACCCACAAGTAATTGTAAATTGAAATAAGAGTGTATTTATAGGGAGGCTCCAAGAAGCTAGGAGATAGCTAATGAATGTCGTATCTCAATGGCTGTTCTTAGCATTTAATCAACCATAAAAGGAGTAAATAAGTCTTCATAAGAACTTATAGCAAACTGGATTTTAAAAACTAATATAGGTAAATCTTTTCAAAATGTAACCCTTTCCAAGAAGGTGATATGCTTGCTCTAAAAGCTCTTCCAGGATGATAGGAGAGTAGTTTGTTTCTTTTTTAATGTATTTGATTGTTGCAGGGTCTCACTATGCAGTTTGGACTCCTGGTGATCCTCCTGCTTTCAGTCTCCCCAGGGCTGGGATTACAGGCACAAGCCACCACGCCCAGACTCTGGCTGGCCCAATGCACCAGGGGCAGGGCTGGCGCAGAATGTGGTGCCGTGGATCGAACCTGGTCCCTGCACTTGCCTAAGCAGACACTTTGGTCCACTGAGCTATCTCACCAGCCCAGGAAAGTAGTTTCATACAGTGTGCAGCTATCTAGCCTGCAGAGAGTGGTTGAACCATGGCTAAGCTACAGGTCAGCAAACACCTTGCAGGGTGGAGCAAGGCCAGCCCAAGAACACAGAGCTCCAGAGGCCAGCCAACGAGTTGTTGGGACCAGAGCAAGGCCTTGGTGCTCTTCCCTGTTCACTACAACACCGAAAACTCTCAGAACGTCTTGCTTTCAGAGTTCTCAGCAAAGCAGGGAGACTTTGCACTTTCACGCCATCTCATGCCCTCTCTTTTACTGTGTATAAATAAAGAGGCAAGGGGCCCGAGTTCAATCCCTGGTTCTGCCAAAAAATAAATAAATAAAGAGGCAGACTGTGCTGGGTTGTTGCTACCTCTCCATCAGAGAGGCCAGCTCCCACCTGGTCCCCGCTTTCCTTTTCATATATGCCTGTAGTTTCTTCTTAATCTCCCGTC